AGTATCTAAAATTTAGGTAAATCTTCCTGCAGCAGTTTTTAAGGGTGGGGTTGGTGGGTTTTTTGAAGCTTTGTATTGAGTGGGATTGCTACTGGAAGAAACAAAAAGTCTCAACACAGGCTTTTTTTCCATCAAAATGAAGGTTTTTAAAATGGGCATTTAATGCAGTTTCCTAAAATGGCTCTGCTTAGCCATTAATGTAATTTATATTTAGCACAAGACCACAGACAGATTGCTAGACTAGACTGTTTCGGGGACGAGCAAACCACTCTGCCTCTTTACTCACAGTGCTGCTAAAATAAAGAGCATGGCAGTAACATGGGAAATGAACACAAAGTAGAAAAATATGACATTTCAAAAATCCTGGTTGAAGAAATTGCATTGGAAGACTAAGAACAGATCCAACCCATCCCCAAGCCAAGCAAATGGAACATCCTCAGCCAAGCTCAAGAGTAACTCAGTAGGACAAACTGTGCTCTCAAACAGATCACTTTCAAGTTTGAAATGATAGTTTGTCTATACTAAACAAACCTTCACAAAAAACCCAAACAACTCTACATGCAGACAGCAACACACCAGGCAACCTCTTCTCTCTACCCATCCCTTGAAAATCCAGCACTCCGTGCTCCAGCAAAGAGCTGGCAGGAGGCACTTGCTTGCAGCCTCTCTGGACATTAAATTCAATGTATTCTGATTTCACATAGTAGGGGCTGTTTAAATCTCTCCAAGCCATTCTGGACAGTATAACACATTTTTGCATCATGCTACTTTGGCCAGGAGACTGAATAAAAAGCAAAAGTTTTTACAGGAAAATTCAAGCACCTCTAGACAACAATCTCACAGTAATTTCTGCAGAACATTTCTTATCCTGACACTGAACTCTGGTCATTCATAGTGAAACCACACCAAACAGAAGAGACATTTGTACTGACTCTCTCAACCAAGACACAAGGAGAGAAAAGAGACAGTGAAAATTGAACATCTGCCTCACAAACATCCCTTTAATCTCCTCACTCTCTTCTATTAGTTTGGCAAAGGGAAATGTACAAATGCTTCAAGTTCATATACCTGTTCAGAGGCATCAGTACCAGAACACATGCCTAAAGCAAAGCCTTGGACTAAGTTCGCCTGGTGTAGCACTTGCTCATGGAAAGAGAACTTTGCCTTCAACTGGTATTAAGCCATTAAATTATGAACTTCTGACAAGCAGCTCAGTGTTCCTCAACTTCATGAGCTCCCATCATTGTTTTGTTTTTTTTTACAATAGCCTTTAACTGGGGATAAGGTCTTTCTTCATGTGTATCACTAAACGTTCACAGTCTCTGTATTCCAACATTTTTGTAAAAGTAAAAGCCGCTGGAATACATGATTAATTTTGAAGGCACTAAGAACACTAACTGACTTCAAAAGCATCTTTGAAACAAAAGAAACCTGAACAGTGAGGCAGAATTTGTGGTATCTGATGCACCCAAGCTACACAGGTTGATATCAAAATTCAGAAGCATCTTGTATTCAAAACACACTATGTTAAAAATGCACCAGAATGCAGTTCAACTCAGAGGTGCTTAAAAACTTCAGTGGAAATTCCTAAACCCACCCACACCCAATTTACATTAGAGGAATGCTGTAATTGCACAAAAACACTATCACCTTTGGAAAGTCAAGCACAACCCAACTCAGATTCTGCCCTCAGATGCAAAGAATATTTATTAAAATAAAGTTCTGGTGTGTTAATGTACTCGTCAATGGAATGATGAAAAGAAGGCAAACAAACCTGGCAGCACCCTGGAAGGGTTTTGTTGGTTTGGTTTGGGGCTTTTTTTAAGGATACTTCAAAATGAAAATTAGTGATTATTTCTAAATTGTCACTGCAATTGCTATTTTTCCCCCCCCAAGTGTCCAACTGCCCCATACAAGCCATTTTAACTGCTTTCAACAACTTATCACTGATCACTCCTATGCAAGGATATACCACTTAGTTTAAGTCTACAGAGAGACTTAGTACAGGCAATCTTTTCTACCCAGAAAGCTGTATAAATAAAGAATAGAATCTGATCATTTTCATATGCTGCCAGGCTTTGGATGGATAAATGTTTCCAAAGAGCTGGCGCCTCTCTTTGGGCAGGAGTGGGTGGAATATTGCAGGATTCCCTTTCCCTCCCCCACTGAAGCAGAATCTGGTCTCTATTAAAGGCATTTCGGCTGTAATTCTACTGTCAGAAATATCCTGATTTTATACAGTGTTGCAATTCCTCAAACCGTCATTAACACTGATGAGATCCTGTTCCACATCTGCCAATTCTAAGTTTTACTGTCCACACCAAGCTTGGCACAAAAGAAAAAGCTTCAGTTTTAGTAATGATGAAAGATGTATAGAGATCATGTTAAAAAGATTTTGAGAGTTATCTTCATCTGTGTGTAGCATAACATAGATAAAAATTCACTCAGCACACTTATACCTAACCTCTTTTTTATAAAAAAGACTTCAATTACCATCTCTGTAGTGCAACAAAAGATGTTATTTGCCCTACTGAAATCGCACAAATAGTACACAGAGCAGTCTGGGTTAAGGTTTTTACAGCTGTCAGCAATGCAATCATCAGAAAGGTGCAACCAACAAACTGTATTTCCAAGCTGAATGAGCATATCAGCACTGGAAAATTCAATACAGGCCACAAATACAACAAACATGGGAATGCACATTTATGCATGACTTTCTATTGAGAATTCAACATCAGAACACTAAGTGCTTACTGATTAAAGGTCATTTGACTCTGCCCAAAAGCTGCATTAGTGTGAAAATCAGGAAAACAATGAATGGTCTGGAAAACTGATTCCTCTTTAGGAGTGCATTGTAAGTCTATCTCTGCTCTCTCCACTGTCCCACCCCAAAGGATCACAATTTTTATGCAGTCTTAAGATATAGAATCCAAAACCTCATCTGTAAACATTTCAGATACATGTTCATGTACATCTTACTCCAAACACACAAATGAAAACTGAAATGTAAAAATCAATTATAGATCTTTTGGTTAGACATATTAAACATGCACAGTGAAATAAATAACAAAGTATGTATAACAGTGTATTGCAATTACTAAAAATCTGTATTTGAGATCACAAAAATGTGAAGCACCTTTTGACAATGCTTTTCATTCTGCTTAAACATATTTCAAATCAGTAATTTTTCCTTTTCTTCCTTTCTGTAGGTGACTTCCACCAGTGTTTTAGAGCTGGCACAACAACTATTGTTGTTTTGAGAGAGAATGAGTACTACAGCTAATAAGGACATCATTTAATAACTGCCTGCTGCCTTATTAAAAGCCAGAATCTTTTCAGAAGTTACTGAATCCAGCTCCTGCAGACAGCCAGGGATGCTGATTTCTGTGTCTCAGTGTCACAAGTTTTGATGCCTGTCAGGAAGCCCTAGATGCTCATTATTACCTCGATCTTACTGTAAATTGAAAGATTTTTTTGCACAGCCTAGCTGCAAGTGTTTTCTACACTTGCAGGAAAGAGTAAGTCTTTCAGAACTCCAGAAGCTATTTCAGGAAGCCTCATTCTTTTTTAACCTCCAGCATTCAGTATGCACGTGGCTTCTTCTCTGTAATAACAGGAGTGGGAATGCACAGTATAAGGAAAATCAATCAAGAAAAGCTTTAAGTAAATTGAGGTCAAAGACATAAGGCCAGACCTAAAGTTCCTACTGTATTGTTCAAATTAAGGCAGGCTGACACAGATCTCCATGAACAGCTTTAAGTTAATTTTACCTTTCTTCTGAACTGAACTGACAAGGAGATTGCAGCTATGCTGTGACAAAAACATTCAGGTAATCCAGCTGTTGCTCCAAGGATCCAGTGGTAGTGAGGCCTCCAAAGCAAAGATTTTACCTCTGCTACAGCTGACAGCTGACATCTGACCTGGCTGCAGCAGTGTTTGCAAGGAGTCATACTCCAGCCAGCCCTTCAAAGTGAGGGATATTATTCTCTCTGCCTTTTCCCCTCTCATTCTCATGCTCAGTGTCTTCCAATTGTACTTGGAAGGGAAGAGTCTGTCTCATCACTTCAATTATCAGAAAGGATGCCAAAAGAAAAGTAGTTTTGCAATAAGAATAATCAAATTTTCTAAAAACCAAAGAACCAGCAGATTGATCACATTTGATTATGGTACAGCCAGGCTGTACTGATGAAGCAGGAAGTAAGAAACAGCATTAGTAAGGGAAAGAAATTCAAAGTGTTTCTGTTTTCTCCCTATTCTCTGCCTGACCTACAGCCTGCCTTAACTTGCCAACTCCCCTTACGTATTATTACTCGTCCTCTTACAGGTCCTGCCTTTCTGACATCTCAAAGCAGCTGGTTTGCATTCCCTTTCCTGGCTCCTCTTTTCTTGATCCCAGTAATTTCTGCTCTCATCAAGAAAGAACAAGATTCAAGACTGGGGCCCTGAAGAAGCAAAGAAAATGACGGGGAACTACACCAGTGAAACAGAGAGGAGCAAGGCACCCTGCCAGTAAGAAAAGGGTGAGAGGACAATAAAACTAGCCTGTACAAGAAAGCAGATTGTGGTCTCTGATTAAATTCACTGGTAACATTTCCCACAACATGGAGTAGCAAGCTCCAAAATTACGTGCCCGCAGCTCCCAAAGCCTTCCCTGTGTTCACGAGAAATGCATGGGGCAAAAGATCACTCTCTCTGCTATTAAAGTATCATTTTAGAAGAGAGATGGCAGCTCTGTGAGCAAACGTGTCCTTACAGCTCAATACCCACAGAAAAGGCCATCTACAGAAAGGAAGAAAGGACAAAAATCAGAGAATTCTTATCAAAACTTTAAAAACTTGAAATCCATTTTACAAGCGTTAAAAAAATGCAATTTTTACATAACAACATCAAACAGCAAACAGAAAATACACAACATTGAACAAACAGACAAATAAACGGAAACAATCTTAAGTTTTGGGAAAGTACTAACCAGTTACTGACAGCAGCTGTGAAACCCTCACCTCCATTTCCTCCCGATGAGACCTGTCTCTATCCTCGAACTCACGAGTTCTTCGCCGAGCCTCTTCGAAGGCTTGTTGTGCCAATGCATCCTCCTGCTACCAAACAAAACACAGAGTGACAAAACATGCTACCCTCACTCCTACCAGATCACATTTCTTTTGAATATTAAGGATCACTTGGCAGCAAAGTCAAGTATGTCCTACAGAACCAGCCAGAACACAGACAAGTTCCAGCAGAAGCCAATACAGGTTAATGTAATACTACTCACCTTCACTACAGAGGTACAGATAACCAAAGCTGGATGCAGCTACCACTAAAATACATTTTCAAAGGAGAGCTGATTTTCCAAAGTAGTTTAAATGCTGCTGGTTTGTTTTTTGTTGTTTTTTTTTAAAGCCAGGAATTCTCAAAAGTTATGTGAAAAAGGCAATACAATTTATCCTCCTTAAAAAAGTCATTTTAAAGACAGCATTCACAGGTATATCTAGGCAGAGTCCACTAGCACCACTCTATAAACAATGGCAATTTAATTCCCTTGAATTGCAAAAAAAAAATAATCTAAGTTACAAACAAAATAAAATCTTAATGTTATCAAAAGCTGCTGCAGGTGCATTAGTATGAACACTCTTAATCCATATGTACCAATGTTTGTATTATTTAAATTTAGATGCATAAGAAAATGCAAAGCAGAAATTACTCCTAGACTAATGTGCACACATTCCCATATAATGGAGGAGAAACCTGCAGCTCTATTGTTTTCAGCAATGGCTTATGCAAAGAAATAGATTTAATAAATTAACACTCAGAAAAAAATCTCCTTCAAACAGTATTTTCTATTAGAAAATGTTTTAAATAAAGTATATAAATAGTAAGTCATTACTAACTGGGTGAGAAATTATTTCTCTTAAGAGATCTTCTAACACCTATTTTGCTCAGAATGAAAATAGATGTCTCTGTTTCCCACCAGAACTTTAGACTTGACACTTCTGTTCTGAAAGTTTGAAAGAGGTTCCACAAATCACTAAGGGATAAATTGTATTGGTTCTCCCTCCTCCTAACTCTTCAACTGCATCTACTACTGCCTCTACTTAAGAGTCCCACATACATGCAAACATTATTTTGAAGTTGATAATTTTACAAAGAGCTAACCTTGACTGTTAGAGGACATAAACATGTTGAGAGCCCAACTACATTTTAATACACCTAGGGATTAAGTGCATAAATTTTTTAATTTAAGATAAAGCATCCCTAGCCTGAGAAAATGTTAAATTGCCTTTTTTGCCTTGGGCACAACCGTGGGCCCTGGAGCTGCTCTGTGAAATGATGTGAATGAGCTCCCTGGCGGCCCAAGGCACTGAAACACAAACAGCTGCCAACCCTTAACTGCCCAGACAGGTCCCCAGAAAGGCAATGTTTAAAGCTGCCAACAAGATAACATTTTAACACTTCCTACTATTTTTAAGAGAAGAATTTGGCCCTTTATAGCTATCTTAATATTCACGCAATGCATAGCAACCAAGGTCAGACAGCGGAAAGTGAGTTTGTTCTTAATAATGCAGAAGGATAGAGATAAGTTGTCTCCCAGCTGGCTACAGAAAAGCTGCCTTATTTCTAATTTACAGAAGATATGTATGTCTTTATTACTTTTTTTTAACAGACTTGAATAAAAGCAGATTCATTTTTTTTAATCAAAGATTTTTGCATTTTACCGTCATTTAAAGTGGTCACAAACCAAAAGGCTGATAGATAGCCTCAGCCACAATATTTTAAAGAAATGGTCATAAGCAAGAGAAACTAAATTAGAAATTCATGGGGGAAAAAAAAAAAATCAGTATGTTGACATTCAGAATGAAGACATGTTGACAGCTCAACCACTGGTTTACTAATGTCTGAGAAATGGAAAAAAACCATCAGAACTTGTTTTTAGTTAAAAAAAAAATAAAATTCTGCTCTACTCTTGGTGATGCATCATAACAAATTAACCTACAGTTCAGTCTTG